TTTTTTTTTTTTGGATGTTTGTTCATTTCCCAAGTTTTTCTTCGTTTGATGCTTTTGAACAATTTTTTTTATTTTCTTTTTTTGGTATCTTCTCATAAAAGCAATTCAAATTAACTTGTTTTTTTTTGTTGTTGTTGTGTGACTTCAAGCTAATTGGAGTCAGTAGAAAAGAAGAAATTAAACTGTTTGCCCGCTTAAACTAAAGCTTTGTTTATTTTTTACTAATTGACGACTTTTAAATATGACTTCAGTTTATTTCCCCTTACAGTTGGCATAAATCACATTTTTTGAAACAGTTTTTTGTGTTTATCCTCTTGAACTAAAGCACTGATTTATTTAGTACTACTAAAAGCTGCAATTATTCAACTATAAGTTTTCTTGCACAAATAATGATTTTTTCTGTGATTTAGCTTTACAGTTTTTAAAATTTCTGTACTAGTAGTCAACATCTTAAGATTCTTTTCTTTTGAAGTATTAGGATGCTCGATGTTCCCATTTCGACTGTTCATAGCAAATGTTTTTATGATTTTTCGTTGAATTTTTGAATTTTAAGAGTTTTATTTTTTCCCCTCAAACTACATGGCAAATGCACACTTTTGAGAAGTCTGGTTGCAGGAAAAGACATAAAATGATTTTTGAGAGGTTTTTATTACTGTTGTGAACCACATAAGAAGAGTTACTTTAGTTGAGTAGTTTCTCGAGACTGCTGTGACTCTTATTATAAACTTAGACAACCAAACAGTCTCATTATACAAGTTGAATCCGTTAAATCTGTTAAAACAATCTTTTACGGAAGCGTGCACATACAACAAACTTGGTTTACATCATATTTTTTTAAATGTGGATCATGGTTTCTATTATACGGCGTTCACTCAACTAGTGTATTTACAACTCTTGATAACCAGAAAGAGCCAATACGCCTAAAATTTTACCACTTCTTTCTATTCATTTGAATGTTTGGCATCAAAAAATGAAATATCTGTGTGCACTGATAAATTTAAACTTGACGGCATATGTGGCTTTGACTAGTCCCACTAAATTCGCACTGATAGCAGGTAACAAGAAAGAATAATATGGAAAAACTAAAAATATGTACAAAAGACCCGTAGTGATGATATGATACCAGAGCTAAGCTCACCGAAAGTAAAGTAAGTTGAAGCTTTGCATTTTAGAAAATTGTTTTTAACACGACATTTGACAACCGTCCAATAGGTGATTCAACAAATATATAAAAAACAAAAGCAGCTACGAAACTTAGATAGGCAACAAATGGTACCACTGCAATCAAATGATATGGATTTGTCGCTTCTTGAAGAAACTGAACGTGATTGAAAACGTAAACAACTGGCATATGTATCAGGTAAGCTGCAAAAGTTAATCGGGCAAGCACTGACCACATTGGATGAACTTTTATCCTAAAAGATTACAAGTGATCACTTCCGTTTAAAAAAGACATTTTGGAGAGCATTATTGATCGTAAAACTATTTGTTAGAGAAAAAGTTTACAAGTCGCAAAATTTACTTGTTTTTCCGAAATACAATAGCGGCAATCATCGTCGCAATTGCGGCTGCAAAAACTGTACGAAATAGTGCAGTATACAGGGTATTGTATAAGGTATTTCCTTGACCTGGAGACCAGTATTCCGGCAAAATACCATAGACAGTTAACACCGCTAACAGTGAAAATGAGAGGAATAGTGCACGTGATTTTGCTACTGAGATTCTTGTGTTTATCTTGGCAATAGCGCAGCCAAGCAAAAGACCGATGATAAACGGTCCCCATTTAGTGTAGGGGCGAGCGTACATTTCCCATAGACCACCATAAATTTTTGCCAACGTTTCCGGTTGCTCATTTGGATACGAGATGAACTGTAAATTATGCACGTTTAAACGTTTTACTCCTTTTTCTCTTTTTTAACTTAGTTTACTTGTGGGCAGTTATTTTTTGGCAGTTATAAAATAGAAGAAACTTACAGGTATATCAACATCACTTTTGTTGCAAACACCATATATCAAGCAGTAAAGTGCTCTTAAGGCAGCAGAAATGCCAATTGCTCCTATGGCGATTGAGATTCCTTTCTTTGGCGAAACATGAAGTTCCTGTAGTAAGAAAGGCGCCATTAATTGCAGCTGCATGTCCAGACCTGCAAAAAAATTTAGCTGTATAGTTCTTGATTAAAATTTGCAGTCCGGTTTTTGGTTGTGAATAATAAGGTGCTATGCTTTAGTGGAAAACAGGTAGGTTAAGTGATGGATGGTAGTATACCTAAATACCATAGGTATCCCATGCAGGTTGGTGTAAGTTGCCAATTCCCAAGGAACGTTAGATGTGAAGTTATTCCAGAGGCACCACAAGCAGAAATCATTGTTGCATGGTACCTGGAGAATCGAATTAGTCAACCTAACAATGTCAGTTTTCTAAAGATTTGCAAAGGGCAGCAAATAATTCTTTTCTTCATAAGCATTATCGCTCAGATTTAGCAGAGTTTAACGGCTAGAAGTGTTTGAAAAAATTCTTATCAGACAGCTACTTTATTATTTTCATCTAAAATAGCTGGTTTACCTCGGAAGAGCGGCTTTCATTATTGGACCAGAAGCAATATAAATAAAGACAGCGACTGATGGAAAAAGTCGAAGCCATCGATGAACCAGGTATTCGGTATAGTGTTTCCAGAATGGAAGATCAACTTTTCGAAGCCATGATAATGAGGCAAGAAGGCCAGAAAGAACTAAGAAAATTTCAACTCCAAGTGCAGAATTCCCAAGTAAGGCTCCAAAAATTGGATGATCATGGATTGAAGCCTTGAAAATTATTTTTTCTTTAAACTTTACACTTATTAACACAATAAGAATTAACCGAACCGGGAAAAAAGCCAACGTATTATCAAAGCAATTTTTTTAATCAATTTTTCAGTATTTTCTACAATTAATGAAAAAAATTTGAATGCAGAGAAGAACAGAAAAAAACCTTTTTTTCAGTTTTGTGCAAAAGTATCAAGAACTCTTCTGCAAAAAAAAAAAACACATTTTTGTATCTGTACTTTTTAGCCAGCTTATTTTTTAGTATAGATTCTTCAGTTGTAAAAAGAATGCGTAAGAAAGACACAAGTTTTGTTATCCTTATACACTTATCGGGAAGAAGTTTGCTGTTTTCGTTTTCCTGATTAAAAATGTTAGAAAATGGCTGTGATACTATTGTACTGTTATTATCAGTTACCTTAAAAGCTTTTGCTGATGGTAGTCTATCAAGAACATCAATTCGTCCTTCACTACCCGTATGGTTAACCATCACCCAAATAATGGCACAAACACGGAATATGTCAAGAATAACCAACGGTGAATTCCGAGATGCAGTTAACTCTTGTACCGATTTTTTAATTGACAATACATCCAGAATACCGTTCTTGAATGTTGTGCCAAAAAAAACAATCAGTGACCAGGCCAATAACGGTGTCACTGCACCGGAAAATGTCTTCGGCATAATTGAACGTAACAGACATTCTTCGGTTCGATTATCTGGCATCCAAACCAGAGGACTAACAAGGTGATTTTGCAAATTTAAACCCATAAGTTCTTCGCCATTGCAAGCAGCCGTCGTGTAGAGCCCCTCCATGATCCCTTAAATGATCAAAACTGTTACAGTAGCATGCTTGACTGTATTTCTCTTCCTTTTTTTCCAATTAGAAAAGTAACATACGACATTATGTCAGTCAGAATAAGCATTTAACTGAGCATTGGTTGACAAAAAACAGCTTTGAAAAAATTATCTTTGAATTTTTACAACAAATTTTTATTGTAATATTATAAAATCAACAGTATAAACAAATATGAGGGATTAAATAACGGTTTTGCCGTGAAAGACCTAGTAGTTGTCTACAGAGACCTACAGACAGCTAAGTACTTATTTGGAAAAATAATTTTTCAAACAAAAAACTAGAAATTATATCATAATTATAAGCTTTTTATTAATATTACAAAAAAAAAGAAAAGAAAAGCGAAGGTAAACATTGATTTGTGCTTCTGGAATGTAAACAGATTGACAATTTTATTAAAGTTATTATAAAACTTTCGCTTCATTTGTCAGAAAGCATTCAAACAGATATTTTGACTATCAAAAGTGACTGTTCTAATAAACCAAAACAAAAATAAAGAAAATATAAAAAAAAATATACAAGTTTTCTATTTGTTCATTTCATTAGCCATTAACAGTTATTGTCGATTTTTACAATAAATTTGGTTTGTATGACCGAAGCAAATAATTTGTGGTACAAACATAATGAAGCAATCTTTTGAGTATATTTCCTTCTAAATAACAGGTAAATTTTAGTAGACTACAACTTTACTTTAATCTATTCTTTTAGTGTTGTGAAATAGCACATTTTTAGAAGCAGAAACAAAGTACGTAGAAATAATGAATAGTTCATTAAAAGTATTACTGATGATTAAGTTAAAATTTAATGTTTTTAAAAGTGATAAATTAATTTGGTAGCATGTCTAATTTACTTAATATTTACAGATGAAAAAAAAGATTGCTGTACAAACAGCAACTAATTCTAATTGAGCAATATTAACTGTATCAACAGCTCTACATTAAAAACAGAAACTGTTAAACAGTAATAATTAGTAAATCAAAAAATAAAAAACAAAAACTATTTAACCAAATGAAAAAAAGATTTAACATACGATTTTGTATAATATTTGTTTTAGTACAAAAATACACTTAGACAATCGCAGACAGCCACAGATTTACACAGACTTATACCCAACTTAAAGAATTGTAAACTTTTGAGGAAAGAAGTGGTGTCAATTTATATTTATAGACACTTTTTTTTTCTTTTCAAAACTATTATTGAAAATCTTACTAAACAGTAATTTTGCAGAAAAATAGCAGAAAAGAATTGTGAAAAAACTTTGGGTGGGACTAAGCATTGGTGTTTATTTCATCTAAACCGTAATTGATTCACACAGTTATTAATGGATGAGCAAAAGGAGTACAAATACAAATGTACAAACATAAGCTTTTATTTCATCGCTTTCTCAATGTTTAATCATTTGGGTATTAAAAGACAACGGGCTAATTTCATTTTGCTAATGATTTCTTTTTTTTTTTTCTTTTTACTTTACGCTCTGTTAAGTATCAAAAAATAACTTGAAAATAACTTTTTTACTTGAAAACTGTTGAAGCATATTAAGTTTTTTGGTTTTTTTCTTTCTAGTAAAAAAAATTTATTTGAAAGTTCTTAAAATTATAAACTTTTTAAATAATTATAAAGTTGTTCTTCTTTCTCAGAAAAATGTTTGAAAAATTTTACAGATTCAAAGTTTTAGTATGTTTATCAACTGCCACTTATGTTTACTAATATTATTTTGATGTAAAAGTTGTAACAAATACTTAAAAAGCAGAACAGAAACAGCAGACAAGAAGTAAAGCTGTGGCAAGAAAGTATAATGACAAAAGGAAACTAAAAATACTGTTGATATTTAGGCATTACCGTATAACTGATACATAAAGAAGAAAGAGGAGAAAAAAAGAAGATAATAGAAAAGTAAAGTTAGCAAAAAAAACAAAACTAATCCTTTTGTTTTTCTGGACAATAACTTCTTAGCAGTTGTAAAAAATAAATTTGCACATATACAATTGATAATTTTACCGGTTACAGTAACAGTTTTGAGTAAAACAACTGCCCAGCAACAGATTGTTCATGTAAAGTTTGATAACAATCAAACTTAAGACTGTTGTTGAAATCTGACTTCAAAAAGTTTATATATAGACAAAACAAATTCCAACGTCTTTTTTTCTAGTAGTAAGGGGAAAAAAAGTGGGTAGTATACCAAAAAAGACAGTTTGAAAATTGTTTGACCTGGTAATCAAAAAAAAAAAAAATTCTTTCTGCTTTTTGTAGTATTCTAGTTGTTGGGTGTTTGCAAATACTGTCTGTGTATTATCAGTATCAAAGTTTTTGTTTGCAATACCAAATTAAATACAAAAACACTTCTCAGACAGAAACCCACACACACACACATATGTATAAGACAGAGGACTGGGGAATGAAGGCAGTGATTTTGACCACACTAAGACTATAAACTATTGTAACTAGAAAAAATAAAAAATAAGAACAATTCATCAGATGTTGTTAAATTATCTTTTTTTTTGTTTTCAACAGTTGGTTTGCTAAAATTTACTATCCTAAAAAAAAAAAAATCACATGTTTAGCGCCGAATTATAAATTGTTCAACTGGTAATAAACACACACACACACACACCCAGTCACCTGCATAGAAATAAGGTAAAATTGTTATCAATGATCAAAGAATTGTTTTCTTCATCTGTTAAAAAAAAAAAAACATTCTCTTTCATATCAGTTCTTATCACATATAAACTTCAAATGCGCTTTGACAACAGCAAAGATTATTCTACAAAGGTTACTCCAAAACTAATACAAAAAACACAAGAAAAGATAAGGAATGGTTGAAATACGATTAACAAATATTATGATGAACTTTAAGATTTTAGAATCTTTATATTAAAAAAAAAAAGTGGCAAAGTATTGGTAAAGGTTTTTTGAACACATATATATTTATTTTGGCGCAGATAATTTGCTGTTTATAATAATAAAAACTTAGCCAAAAAACTGAATCAATTGAAGAAAGTAGAAAAATAAATAAGAAAATGTCAATTGTTTTTCTGTTATTTGGTATTGCTTTTTTTATTTTTGTTGTTGTCATTGCTATCCTAAAATTACATACTTAATTTAATGACAATCAGTATAAACGTAATTGAAGAAGACGAAATGGTAAAGTAAAACAAGGAAAAAAAATAGCTGCTAATTAGTTAAACTTTGTAAATATCTTTCTAATAAACTTTTAAAAAGTGTGTTTTAGCTCTTCATTTGTAAACTTTTAGCCACTTTTTCGTCTCTTTTTTTTGATTTTATAGGTACATAGTTTTCTATAAGTTTTATTGCAAAGAATAGATTAGTTAACAGGAAACTGTTTGGTAACGCAGTATGTTGTATTATCAAAAAAAAAATAAATTTGCATGAAAAAGTTATTATCTATTCTTTCAAAAAAAAAAAAAAA